TACCTTGCTGCCTGATGACTGACAATCTGAGTAACTTTTAGTGATTAATTCACAGAAGGAAATTACAGAAGGCAGTAGGTTAGAAAATCATGGATTAATTGCCCAAGCAGTTCACCAGCTCAGTCTTTTCTTACTTAGGGCTCACCTGCTTTCCATTTGTCCCCTGTTCAACTAAAGGGAATCTTACTCGGTACTTCTCCAACTCTCTGTGACAGCCACTGACTTCCAGGCTTTGCTGAGCCGCTTTGCAGTCACCAGCAAATAATGCTGTGGGTATTCCCCCGGTGTCAATCACACAATATTGACAAGAAATCAGAAATCAAAGTCACACAGCCAGGAATCACTGCTTTAGCCATAAAAGGTTGGTCTACCCAAGTATCCTCTTCGTGCCCCACCCCGAGGTGCTTCTTGCACTGCCTTCAGTCAGGCTACCAAAGAAGCTGGCAGACATTTCACTTCCAGCTTTGGAGAGCCTGGGCTGGCAAAGTAGGAAAGGTTAGTGGAAACAATAGGGCGGAGGGAGGGCAGCGAGCTAAGTTAGGAGAGAAATCTCCTTCTACTCAGACCAACTCCTACACAGAACGAGACTCACAATGAAAGAAAGGGCTTTGATGTCACAGGACACCACAGTATGACCCAGGTAAAGCAGGCGACCGCTGCGAACGGGAGGGAGCGCAGGATGCGCCTCAACAGGGGAGCGGAACAAGTGGCTCGGGATGCGCATCCCGCAGGGAGGATGCCCCTCACCGGGGGAGCGGAAGGAGTGGCTCGGGATGCGCGTCCCGCCTCGCACACCCTCCGGCACCCCAGGTGTCTCGGGATGCGCCGGGATCCCCGCACACCCTCCGGCATCCCAGGCGTCTCGGGATGCGCGTCCCGCCTGGCACACCCTCCAGCATCCTGGGTGTCTCGGGATGCGCCGGGATCCCCGCGAGCTCCGCCGGTCCTCGGGCGCCCCCCGGCGGCTCCGCCCCGCCCGCCGGGACTGGAGCGCCGGGAGCGCCCGGACCCCCGGCCCCGCTCCCGGATCCCCGGCCCCGCTCCCCGCCCGCAGCGTCACTGCCGCCCGCGGAGGTGGCGGGTGCGTTAATGGGACCAAGACCGGGTGGGTACCGGGACTTCCATACTTAGCGCTGGTCTCGCGTATGGAATCAGTTAACGGGGACTGACACAGAAACGTCATTATTGGGTAAATCCCACCGTTTCTGCAGGCGGAGCTGCCAAGGCAGTTTGCTTAGACACACCCTTCACATAATCATTTTCTTAAGGAAATAAATGGGAATTGGGTTTTACTGCATCAGTTTTCACTCAGCATTTAAGTATCCGAGAGAAAGGGAAAGTACTGGTAAAATTTCCCAGTAAAGCGACTGACAATGTAAAATTTCCATTCCTGTCTGTAGAATGTACAGTCCCACTCCTGGTTAATTTTTGCTGTCCGGATGGTATCCAAGCACCTGCCCTGAAATTCACTCCAAGTGCAGCACTCAGCCACAGCAGATGCTAGAGGTTTAGTATTTCTGCACCCTCACAGCTGTGATTCAGCAAAGCATTCCAGCTTATTCACCAAAAACACTTGGGCATGTGCTAGTTTTCAAGCATGCAAGTAGCTCCCCTCACGTCTGTGTAGCTTTTTTCTAGGCCACAAATGCCACTTTCAGACCTACCTTTCCCTGAGAATCCAGGCTGTTTGAGGACTGCACACCACTTGGAAGAAGAATGTGTCCTGAGTCAAAGCTAGATGGCAACTTCACAGCTGTGTAGCATTTGCAGCATGAAAAGGCAAGCAGGAGCAAATTAACACAACTTCATTTGCTTAAAGACAGCAACTACAGATTAATGGGAGACAACATGAGGGTCTTTAGCAACTCAAATGTGAATATAAACTGAATAAAAACCTCTCTCTACCAACAACTAGCATCATTGGCAACTGCACCAAGCAAAGGACGCTTCAGTTCCAAGGGCAGAGAAAAGCAGAACTCCTCAGACCAGCTACTTTGCAGGTTTGTCTGTCAGGCATCTTGCAAAAAGACTGAAAATACTTAGCCGCCCTAAAGTTTTACACTCCAGGTTTTAGGAGAAAAAACAGACTTACACTTTTGAGTCACAAATGCTTAAACCTCAAGTTACCATGTTCTCATCAGCCTTGGCATAGCTCTTTGTAGGCATGTATCCTTCATCCTCCAGTCAGAGCTTCCTCCTTACCTAAAGTCACCTTTCCAATCAGAAACTAACATCCACTACAGTGGATGATATTAAATTTTAGATTGAATATTTATGCAAAGTGTTGCTGACTAATGGTTGCACAGGAACCATAATGCTGACCACTGACTATCTCACATTCAAATTTCACCATTCTAACCATCCATTAATAGAGCCTTGTTTTTGCATGGAGTCTAATAGAGGATTTTAAACCATCAAAACAATAAACCCAGGAAAAGGGAAGCTATGACAGCATGATAAACTACCAGTGCCTACCAAATACCATGTGCATGCAAAGCGATAGAAAGGAATGTAATAGAAAAACACTTCAGACTTTGAATGTTGTCAGCCAACCATTGAATGCAATACCTAGAAAGAGCTGCTCAAATAATCTATAGCAAACAAGGCAGACAAGCCAGATCGAACTGCCAGTCTAGACCTTTTTCAATCTGGTCTCAATGTTTTGCTCTTTCAAACTCAGCAAGGCACTTAATCTCTTCATATCCATGACACTTTTTAGCCCACCTCGTAAAGGCAAATCAACAATTGTGATATATAAGTGATAGCTGCCATAGACAAGTCTCCTTTAAACCAGGCCTGAACACAGAACACCACAATGTGCACCCCATTTAGATTCTCTGTGTATGGAGAGCTCCAGGCTTTGGCACACTGCTAAGAGGACAGTTTTTCTGTTCAACTTGCAAATATCCAATCTCTTGAGCAGAATTAGTTCACCATAATTCACCTTACTTCAGCGCTTCAAACTGGGGTATATTTAAGCACTCTACTTTAGAAAAATCTCTGCCCAAAGATTAGGAGATGGACAGTTAAGCATGACAGCTCAGCTGCATGCTGGCCACTGAGCTCCACAAACTGATAATGCTCTTCACATGCATATTAAGGATCTCCTTTTGAATGTTATTAACAGCTTTCTTGAATACTTTTAACTTCGGTGATACACAATTTGTTTTCCATCCCCTCAGCTCTGGGAAGCTGCTCATTGCACCCCCTGAGTTTTTTTCCACAGTCTTATCCTTAAAGATATTAGGTATCCAACCTCCAACGAGGTTAGCAATACCAACACATGTATTTGCAGACACTGAATTTACATGCAATGAATTCATACTGGATTGTGGTCTCAGTTTGGGAACACCAGTACTGAACACCAAAGCTAACAGAGCTATGCCCTGCTTCAGAAACACTCCCTATTTGTTTAAATGGAAGTGCAATTGTCCCAAACATAGCAAATACGCCTGCTGCACTAAACACTATTTTAAGGCTATTTGAAGCTTTCCAGTAATGTGCATTTGAACTCCACAGACCACAGTACAATGCTTTTTTCTCATTTGAATAGCTAGATCAATCAGACCTATGCCACCTGAAATTTCAAGGAATGAAGAACAAACTAAGAAAGTTTCTATTTTATTCTACCTACTTTCCTGCCTTAAAAAAAAAAAAAAAAAAAAAAAAAAAAAGCAATTTCACATAAACTCTTGCAGTTGCAGCAAGAAGAAAAGTTCCACAAAAAGTGACTGGATTCTGTAAACTGCTTACTGTCAGGTATTTCGGCAGTATAGAAAAAACAGAACAGCAGTAACTGAATAGTCAGCTCACATGTGTGGAAATTGAAACCTCCAAGCTATTCTGGGAGCAATGCTCTGTTTTCTGTAACATTTCTGCATAATCACACCAGAAAGCATGTTCTTTGCTGGAGGAACTATGATTACATGCATGTCTGTACACCTTCTGCTACAGCTGAGTCCCTGGTTATTAAAAAGAGCATCTGAGGCTCAACTGCAACACAAGCGAAATAAAACACGTTCAGGATGAAAGAGTTAACCTGGCACTGCCAGCAAAACACATGGAGCATTTCTCAATTGCAATTGCTATCTCTCCAAAGGATGTCACCAGCTCCCTTGTTTACCCAACACGTTTACTCTTCTTTAAGGCAGGTAAAAGAGTCCTCCCCCTGCCTTGTACAGGTCGAGTGGAGAGGGCTTAAAGCAGAGAAATGGAACAAATTTGACTTGAAAGTACTTCAGCTGGACCAGTGAAAACAAGATCCAGTTGCAAAGTTACCTAACTGCGCCCGTACTGCACAACTATAGCCAGTTGTGTAACAAACCTCAGGACAATTTTACAGCTCTTAATCAGGCAAAACTCCCCGCTGATTTCCACGAGGGAGCTCTAATCAATCAAAAGGTCTGTGAACTGATTCCGGTTTTCTCCTTTTTAATGAAAAGGTTTATTTTGAGCTATGAGAACATCAGATTATATGAACTCGGCAAATCCATAGCGCTCACTTTATCGGCATAAGGAATTCGTCCTGACCAACTGTATTTGGTAGGAAAAAAAAGTAACAACACCTGAACTGACATAGAATAATTTCACAAATAACGGACCTGTTCTCCTGACAGCTAAAAGAAAAGATGGAATAGACAGAGGGAGATCCGCAGCTCTTTAATTAAACACCATCCCCTTTGGGCGAATGGGGAAGACCAACGTCCCCGCCCGTGTTCCTCCCTGAAGTTGCCGCTCCCCGCGGCAGCCGGAAAGAGAATCCCCCCGCGATGAGCCCGCAAGTGAGCGACGGGGATTCCGCGACCATCCCGAAACCGCGCAGGGAAGACCCTGCCGGAGCGGCGGCACCGAGGGTCGGGGGGAGGCGGCCGGGATGCGAGGGGTCCGCTCCACGTGCGCTGCCTCCGCGCCCGCACGCCGCCCGGGGCGACAGAGCCCGGCGTGCCCGTCCCGCCGCCGTCCGCTCCCCGAGTCCCCTCAGGTGCACCGCCCGCCCCTACCTGCCCGCCGGCGGCAGCAGCGACCAGCCCCCTTCTGCCGCGCCGGGTCCCTGTCAGCGGTCGACGGGAGAGCAGGAGCGCTGTCCCGCCGGCAGGGCAAGCCCCATGTGAAGAGGAGCGAGGGAGCCCAGCGGCTCCACCAGCGCGGCCGAGGGGAGGGGACGCGGGGAGGAGGCGGGAGGGCGGGACGCGCCCGGCGCTGCCCCCGCGCGGAGCCGCCCCGGCCCCGGCCGNCTGGGCACGCTCCGGGCTCCTCTGCCATCCCTGCGGGAGCGGCGGGCACCGACGGGCACTGGGCACGCTCCGGGCTCCTCTGCCATCCCTGCGGGAGCGGCGGGCACCGACGGGCACTGGGCACGCTCCGGGCTCCCTTGCACCTCCTCTGCCATCCCTGCGGGGAGCCCCGAGCTCTTCTCGGGAGCCCCTTCAGCACACCCGATGCAGTTTTCTTGTACCGCTGAGGGGCCGCCAGTGGATAAGTCCAAGCGGTGTTTCCAGTGAGTTAAACACTGCGGTAAATTCGGGCTGTAACTTTCACATGCCGGCAGAATGGAAAATGCATCGAGGCCTATAAGGTAAAGAGGCAGCAGTGCCAGCCCGAGAGAGTCAAACAAGCTTCGATGGCTGCTGTGGAACCATTGCTTCTCCTGGCATCGGGGCTCTTGCTGACTCTGCAGTGCCTGCCTAAACTGCCTAACAGGGAGAAGGGATAGGATGGCCCCAACTAAGGGAAAAGAGAGTTCTTACAGTTAAAACACAGCACAGGGACTTGGGATATCAGGATTCACTGTTTGACTTTGACCACCCATGGCAGCCACTCAGTTCTTGATCTACCAAGCAGCTGTGGTGACGCTGAAGTGAGTTTTTGTTAAAAGTTTGGCTGGCTTCCCAGAAATCCTCAGATTATGCAGGGAATTGGATTCATGCTTGTCAGTTAAACAAGTGCCCAAATATTTGCAGAATATGGCATCTTTGTGCCGTAGCTCCCCATCTCTATTATCAAATCTCCCTCCTTACCTCACGAGAATCCAATGAAGACCTATCTGAGGCACAATGATTTCAGTGACAGAGCTCCCAAAGCATATCCACTAAGAGATAGATGGTGCAGTTTCATCCCATTCTCCTCTAAACAGGCATAAAGATATAAACACAAAGTATTTTGAAAAGAAGGTATCTCCAGGGATGCAATTTTTTCAGGAAAGAAAAGGAGTGAGAGACAGAAACAAGTCAGTGTGAGCTGTGAATTTGATGGCAGGTTTTGCTGAGCTGGCAAACCCTGGACTACCCCTCCTGACACTGTGAGGTGTGAAACACAGAACAGGCAGGCAAACACATTTGCTAGCCCAAACCAGGAACACACATCACAAGCCTTCCAAATTAAAAATTTTAAGAGACACCTCTTGGGATATAGCTGAAGTGCCCTGTCAGAACACCATGACTCTCTAATTAGAGACTTCAACATGATACTGGTGCAAATGTTAAAACTATACACAGTAAACCTGATCTTTTTTTCACATTGCTGATAAAGTGCAACAAAAAGCAGCATTTTACTGAGGATATTATGTAAAAAATCCTGCTGATCAGTAATTTGTTCACAGCATTAAAATCAAAAGTCATTCTATTTATGTACTCATGGAAATAAACTTATATTACTTTTATGGTACAGTGAGAACTATACATCTAAACTCATTTAAATATAATAAACATTATGATTTCCCTTGTCTTTTCTGCCTACTTCTTCTCTGTTACTGTTTTGTAAAGCTGTGATTTTTTTTTCCCTTATGTACCAGTACTTAATAACATAACCATAAAGGTAATCAAGTTTTCCAGGAAGCCAAGATTTCCCTTAATTTTACTTGGATCTCACAAGTCTTTTAGCTTAATAGCAGCAGGACCATATTGCACAGATATGCATAGGTGAAGCCTCCAGGGAAAATCTGTGAATTAATACAAAGGCAGGTTGTGCTGTCCCAGAATAACTGCTGGGCGAGGCTGCTTGGCTCGCAGGCTCTGCATGCTGTGTCATGGCTGGGAGCTGTGACAGCACCCTGGCACTGCTTCCTGCTAGTGGGACACAGCCTCTTGCACACCAGGATGCTGGATGTTGTGCTCAGCTCTCTAGAAAACAGCCAGAAACACAGGATGCCCTGCAGGAATAAGGGAGACCTCATGCATCTGTGGCTTTGGCGGGACTTTCACAGAACATATTTGTGGTCTAGCTGCAGGCTGGAGCCTACCCCTGGGGTAACCTGCGGTAGGGAGCTGTGAGGAGGAAGGAGCAGGGTCTAACCTCCATCTGTGTTTGTCTGAGTCCAGATGAACAAGAAGAGGGAGCTTTCTGTTCTCTATCTTACACTCCAGCACTAAAATAATACTTCTCATTCTGAGGCACAGATAAAATAAGGGCTTTGAATATCACCCTGTAGTTATGTGCCCACACAGCTACATGCCTCGACGTCCCCTCTGCTTGCTAATATTACCGGCTTGTTTTGCTAAATCACCCTTAAAAGGGCAGAGCTGCTGCAAATTAGGACAGAACTGCTGAAAGTACCCGAGTCCTCCTGCGGGTGGCATCAGAATGTCTTCAGTGGACCAAGGCGTGCCGAGGAAAGAGGAGAGGGATGATACTCCTGCTTGCCAACTGCGAGAATCATTACAGTGCGAGTGCTGCTAAAAAGTTCTCATAAATCAGCAGATCTTTAAATTAAAAGAATGATTTAAAGTAGTAAGAATTAACATTACTCCATCGGCCCTTTTAATTCTGACAAAGAAACCTTTATTAAACCTCGCAACCAAGCTCTGTATAGGTTACAGTTATCACAAGAGGAGGATGCAGATGCATGGTTTAAACTCGCAGCTTCTACAGCTTCAGCAAAATGGGAACTTTATCACCACCAAAAGTACTTTCGTACTTCTTCATGTAAGCCCCAAGGAGTCAGCTACAAATTGATGAACACAAATGAATCACCACAGTTGCCCAACAGGATGCAGAGGGGTCAAATGTAGCCAGGATAACAAAAGCTACAGATGCAACCAGAGCAGGGTTGCTCAGTGTTTTTAAACTGTTGTGTTACAACTTTCGTGCTTTTTCTAGTACCTGTATGGATCAGGAAAGACCTTACCACACTGAGACAGGTTAGTCCCAAGCCAATATATATATTTTGGAAACATTCAAGTGCTATGAGTCTAACTACTGAGGAAGAGACTGCCTTACCTGCAGAATAGCTTGTGCTCATTTTAGAACACATTTTTTCAAAATTTGATCATGCCTTGCACTGCTCAGTTTCCCATATGACTAAATTGCACTGCCTGAGACTGTAATCACAGCAAACCTTAGAAACTTGTGCCCAGCAGCCACCATCAGTTGTAAAAGGAAGAATGCATGACCTTCAAAAACACATCAGGAAAAATGTTTCTCTTTTTTTGTCTTTTTTTTTTTTATTATTTCCTCTGCTTTGAAAACATTTTAGATGACCTAAGTTGGTGTTTGTTGCCGCAAGCATTGGTCTGCTCATCTGACATCTGACTTTCTTGCCAGAAAATGTGATTTTGCTTAGGAATTTCATTGACACTGTTGCCTGCAAAAGGCCTGGATTAATTTCATTAGAGACTGAATACTTGATCTCTACAGCAACTAGTGAAATGAGACCATTTTGTTTATTAAAGTTGAGGTATGTGAAAGAAGTCTGAAGTTCAGATCATCTGCCTTCTGAAAAACTGGGTTCTTTCAGAGTATTTCCAAGAAAAGGAATCCCATATGTTGCTCTAAAACTCATTTCTGATTTGTACTGATAGAGGATCAATTCCAGTTTACCATTTCCTTCCATTAATTTATTCTTAACAAAGTTAGTATTGAAAAAAAAAGCAAGATTTGTTCTCATGAGATTTAGAGTTATGAGTCTGTGTATACAATAGGCATCACAGAGAATGAGTGTTTTTTTTCTTGTCAGCAGTGATGCTATTCTTAGTTTCGTATGTGGTCCTTATGTGTGTCATAGATAGGCACAATAGATACACATTGGCAGCTTTGATCATATTCAGACATGGGCTGATCTCCCAGTCCAGGAAATTATCCTAAAACGCTCATCATGTTGGCAGCAGATTTTAAACCAACAGTTCTCAAGAGCCTCTGCCAGCATATTGTTGCCTTTAGAGGATCCAGAGCTACTAAACATATTAGAGGAAATGAGAAAGACACAGGAATTATATGTTAAAAACCCAAATCCACAACAGCAACAAAAAAATCTGCTTGGGCTACAGCTATAACTTTGTATCCCAAAGGTTTGAGAAATCATTCAGGCAGTCGTGTGATGTGTGGCGCTATCTGAACCCTCACACTGGACTCTTTTGGCTTTGACCCATGTTCACCCAGTGGTCCCTTAGCACAGCTTTGTGGCACTGAAGAGCAATAAAGCTGGCACCATTGCTGACACTAGGATGTGGTATTGAGTAGTGTGACAAGACAAAGTGCACATTAGCCTGAAGGCAGGGCTGTGCTTTGTAGCAAAAGCTAAGTGGTACAAACTCTTACTGCCTGCCACTGCTGGGTCAAGGCCACTCATGCCATGGCATGACTGTGGGGAGCCTGCGTAATGCCCAGCATCTTCCATGAAACAGGAGATATCCCAAGCAAGACAATCATAAGCAATAACTGATACAGAAGTTGATTCCAGCAACTTTTCAAGACCATTATCTATCCAGCAACTTTTCAAGACTATTATCTCCAGTGCCACCTGCTGAGCTATCTGACATCTCTGGGAATTGACACCAAGTGAAAGAATGTGAAAAAGACAAAGATATCTTTGTTTCTCTATAAGATTCCCTTCTTGAAGAAAACTAGTTAAAAAGGAAAATAATCAAAGAAAGTGATAAGGTTGAAGATTCTGAGGCACACAGAATAACTTCACCTTTACCTACCCAGCTTGCTAGGGGAATGTCATGCCATTTTGCCATGGGTGGTACTATTTCCCTTCCCTGGTGTATTCATCCCTTTTGTGTAACCCCGCAGCCCTGCATAGTGACATCAAATTGATCAACAGAGAAAATAGTAAAAATAATCCTACCTCCAAATAAAA